TGGTTTATTTAACAATCTACAAATAACGGCTACAATTAATTATCACACAGTTGCGGGGTTTCACACTTTATAACCCTAATCGCATTAATCTGTTAACACTGTTGCGGGGTTTCACGATTTATAACCCTATGCGCAAATCAGTTCACTCTGTGTCCAGTAGTATACACGTTGACAGTAGGGGAGCTGGGTATCGCTGTATCACACGCTCCCAATTACACAATCACACACACGTCCGGATCTTCTTCCCGCGACGGCTGCTATACTCCAACTTGTTGTCGGCTGACTGTTACTTTACAACTCGGCGGATGTCACAGTACCTGTGTCAGGCGGCTGCTACAGTAGAACTCGTTGGTAACGCACTCGGCGGCGGTCACAGTAAGACTCCTTCGTAACGTACTGTACAGCTCACTTATATAGCTGCAGTGCTTGCCTGTTGCGTAATGAATGCCACGTCACAGTAATAAGTTGATTACGGGTACGTTAGCGTTGCGCGTTACGTCACCGCTGTTGATTAGCATTGCGTAGTTACCAGGTTACGGGGGCTCGGCTATCTTCGGCTCCGCTCGGCTCTCTTCGGCTCCGCTCGTGACGTCACCGCGGCGAGAGTGGCGGGGTGATGTCTCGCCTGTTACGCGAGCGTTACGTTACCGCTGGGGGGGTATATAAGGACATTATTCAGTAGCAGAAGTCTGGCACTGAAATAACTGGAAACTGGTATTCACACGTGCCGGCTTCGTTGTGAGGTAACTGATAAACACACTACAATATATTTAGAAATACTCTCGCCCAGAAATACATAAAGAAACGAAGCCGAAAGTGAATTAAAATATGGAATATTAGGCACAGAAATTTGAAGAATATGGAATTAGAAATGCTTTGTCATTCCGGAAAATAATTGGGGCTACATGAATTGTAAGTAAGGGACGACAAAATTATACTGTAGCAAAAAGAGGGAAGAGTGATAATATGAGGTTATTATGGAAACAATAACAATAACAAGTAACAAGTTTAATGAATAAATAAATTAATTATTAGTGTTTAATAAAGCGACATTTTTACTAGTACAGTATGTAGAGCGTCGAATTATATCAAGACAATTCCTTTTTTTCTGGAAGCCATAAGACAGCAAGCAGTCGTGGCCCATTTTGAGGTAATTTCATGGCATTTATCTCTAGATAACTTCTGTAAGAACACCTGGTCCACGGGTCGAGATTTAAACCCAGGAACCACTGAGTACGTCACTGGAATGGTAACCTTTATCTCGAAATATTTTGGGTTGTGTATATTACATGCAGATACAGGACAATGTCCGATGTTATCGGTATACTGAATGAAAACTATCTGACCTTACGTCTTGGATCTCCCGTTACCTCCTCCCCTTGAAGTGTTCCAGCGACATAAATACCTGAGCTGGGGTTATACCCGGCTTTCAGAACTCGAACAAGGCTCCCATAGAATGGCTCCAATAGCAGCACTGAGTGGAGTTTTTATAGCTTCCGTTCATAAAATGTTGAACATCAGTGGATCATATCCAGGGCCTGTTCAAGTAATGGAACTCCTTTTAACAATTTGTGCATTGTTTCTCGCGTCCNTAGGTTTTAAGAAACAGAGGGAAGTTGAAGGGTGCATTTTGTCTGGGTTGGGGCTACGAGAAGGCTGGCCAGGCTTACGTCCACCAGCGCTTGTATGTAATATACACTAAGAATCAATAAATCCTCTATTATCTGTAGTGAGTATTTGCTCTTTGTGGTTGGAATACCCGCTCCAGCAGCCAACTGACCATCACCATCACTGAATTATTACGCTACCGCTCGGCCAACATAATTCAGTCGACCCGCCACCATCTTGGGTCACGACAATAAGCAGGAGAAGGACGATAGAAAGTAAGTAATTTTAGCGACAACAGTAAAAAAGAGACACGTAGAACTGCTGGGAGTTCTCATAACATTAACTACATATAATTCTACGTATTCAGCGAATTGCTTCATCATAATTCCTATTTACACAGATCTTTTCATTCATGACTTTCCATTCTGCTTTGTTTGTTATTGTTTGATTTTATTCGTTTTATTTTATTTTCTTCTATGAAATATGTAAAGTGATATCTTCACTAATAGCTGGTCATGTTGTGCTGAACTTATGTGACGGTAGGAAAGTACCCCCCTCCCCCAATCAGTAGGTATTCGACGAAATGAAAAAGGTACTCGTACTTTGATTAGACCAGAGTGTCTACGAGATACGCTGACGATATGATTGCATAACTATCATTTTAGAAAGAGAAGGTGGTCACTGAATTTCATTTTATGGGCGTATCTCTCTTCTTCTTAACGATTTTATTTCAATTTCCGGCAGTAGAGCCTGGATTCTTCATACGCCTTTTGAAACCTTTAGAATTTGCATCAATTAGTTTTATGATGAATATTAAAATATACCTGATAAGGTTTGTATTCCTTTTCTTTTCTAAACACGACAATACTCAGTTTTCATACAATGCGTTCTGAAGTGTTATTATCGAGGAGTCTGATGTATACGGTATTAGTTGCCAAAGTAAGGCAGAGGATTTATTGACAGGTCTGTGATCAGTGATGGACTCCAGAGACAATTCTAACTTACGCAGTCCACATGTCGCCGTGACGCGTGCCCTCCCCCCTTGCTGTATAGTGCTAACTCTATGTGGATCTATACAACCAATCCTACATTTGTGTTCAAGTCACATCAATAATTGGCGCCTTAAGAGTATATCCTTTTGGGCTTGTTGGGGCACAAGTGACAAGACGGCTGACAGACAGAACAGAAGAAGTTTCCCGCCATCACAGTTGTTGCATGGAGGGAATCTGACCAAAATTCCGGCTACATACATGACACAGATCTGAGAGCACGAGTAAAAATATGAAGGCTGTTATGCACTGTACTCACAGGTTCGCCATTGACTAGCCAAGTGATGTGGGCTATGGGCCGCGCTGGGCTGGAAGTGCAGTTCGCCTCTAATGTCTCCCCAGCCTGGTAGACCGGTTTCGATGTCAGTACATGGGGCGGGTCCCGCTGCGTCTCTGTGCAAACAAAACGATAAACCTTGCAAGTCAACATCGCATTTTTATTGGCTAAAGTTCGTCATAAATCAATGCCTTCCTTCGTATGGGGAGAACAGCATTTCCTTTGATGGAACTCTCAAAACAATCCGGATATCTCAGTCGGTATACCGACGGCCTATGGGCTAGGCGGGAGGGGTTCAATTGCCGGCAAGGGCAAGTTGTTTTACTCTGCCTCACAGAGCTCAGACCGGCTCTGGGGCCCACGCAGTACCTTATTCAATGCTTTAGGAAAAGCGGTGGAGAATGAGGCCGACCTTTCACCTGCATCTAGTGCCGAGGTCACGAATGGTGGAGTTAAACCTCTTTTCACCCATAACTCTTCATAGCGTGGTGCTGAATTCATTACGAACAAGTACAATTTCACTCTTTTGACTTTACCTTACAACTGTCAGACGGGGCTACAGCAGAGTCCTGCTTCCACAAAGGACTAGAAGAGCCAGAAACTCTGACCACTAGGCCACAGAGGCGGTCTGAACATCACTTGATAAAAAACTAAATTTTAAATTTAAAAGCGATAAAATGTCTGTTATTTACACAGATACACAAACACACACAGACACAAAGACAAGAAGGGGCGATGCAATGAAATGTTGCCTAAGAGGGGGGATTACCGGTATATAAAGCCTTAAAACCGCTGCCTTAGACTTTTATGAAAATTTCGCGTGACCCTTTGTGACTAATAACTTTTTTAGCGAACCACTGGCCAGTCATATGACTGTGTGAAAACAGCTTCACTGAGCTCGCTGGTCCACTGAGACGCACCTCAATTGCCCGTAAAGGGGATTCACAAGGCAGATGTACATCTCTCCCCCTGCACTAGTGATGCAAAGGTTAAGATATTCTTTACTAGATAAAGCACTCGTGACACTGACAAAGGACAGGACTCGTTACAGAACTGAAATAGAATACAATTTGAAAGTGAAAAATAAAAATACTGTAGCATGCAGAACACACGCAGGAGTGGAACGCGTCACTTATGTGGTGACGTCACGCAACAACACAAGAGGTTTTGCTAGCGGCGATCTTTCGACGAAGATGCGCTCTGGGGCTGTATAACTCAACCGACCGAGTTCAGTTCAGTGAGTGCAGTACAGTTGAGTACAGAGGACTGATGTGAGTTGGCTGGTGAGCTGTCAGAGGACGGCTGCGGTTTAGTCCTTGTGAGATGTTGCTGTTAGACATTTGTAGCTGAGATACGAGGATATTTTGGGAACCCAGGACAAGGGGAACGTATAACATTGGAAGTCGTTACCTGGCAAAGATTGCGAAAATATGGCAGAATGAAAACCCTTAATGCATACTTTAGTGAATTGTAGAGTGTGGGAATTAGTGATAGCGCTATAGTTATTTGTATTTACGATCTCTAAGTGTTCATCGAACCAAATTACCAATCAGAATCCCGTCTATAATCACTCATACTGAACTTATGGCTCAGTGTTTTAATTATAATTTCGAATGCCAATAGACAAGTTAAATTCGGAGTTTTAATTTAAACATTTGTGTGTAAGATACAGACACAACTGCTAATCACACAACAATACTATATCCATAACACAAACCCCTTCACCCCCGAACATATGAAACAACAACAACAGGCCTTATACAAATACGCATATTCTGCCAATTTTAGCGTGTGCTCGCTTTTCGCTATGAAGAAAGTTACACACGTGCAGTTCTTCAGCCGAAACAAATCCAGTCTCGAAATGTAACAGTAGACCATCTTACCTGCAAGAAAATACGTGTGCTAGCCTCTCTCTGTAACACATAAATTGAAGATATCCTTACAGCGTGAAGCCATTTTTATTTTAAATTAAGTTTCGAGACTGGCTTTACAGCAATAACTCCTTTATCCATGACACAATAAAATGGATTTAGCCATGCATTTTGTTTTGCTGGCACCACCCTTGGCGGGTAATAATAGTGCATTTCTTCAAAACTGTCTCCATAGAAACTAACACAAGATGGCGCCTTGGTTGTTAAAGTTTGGTAGCAGCCCATGCTTATAAGATATTCATGTCATAAACCAGAGCTGGGGAGGGTGGGGGATGAACCACCCTCGCGTATCGGACTTGTGAGGAATCCACCCTAACCCTTGCATTGCTATGGAGCTGTAAAGACTTTCAGCCCTCGCGCTGCCACAGTCTCTTTGCAAGACAGAACGAGACAAGGTTCGCCTACTGTGTGTGTGCGTGTGCGTGCGTGCACCGCAATCTATATAACTGCCGCGCTGCCATAAGCACGTGGAAAATACAGCTAGGCCTGAGGCGGATTTCGGTTCTATTTCAGCACACGTGGACAAACCAGCACACTTTCTCAAACTTTCCGTGTGTTGCTTACTTTGAATAAGAACGTTAAACTATGGGGTCGCCTTTGAGAAAACAACACGCATGTCAGTTTGGACATCCATTCAATTTCGATTTTTTGTTTTGATGGCTACAAGCGTTGACAATCCTGGTTCGCAAGGATATATTGTTGCAAGTGAAAATAAAGCCTCCACAGCTCACTTCACAAGGTGAGAGTAGGCTTCTCTCAAGGAACACCAGATTTCTCCAGAGCTTATTTAACGAAACTCCAGTTGTGGTAAGATTTCTGTCCCTGGATCGATGACTTCACCTCTGGTTAGATCAATATATTCAATAACATTTATATAAGAAATTTGGTAATTGCGTATTCATGGTCCAGTTTTAATGCCATCAAGAAAAAAAAACATTTGAGAGAGTTCTTTCCGAGTGTTTACAGGTTTCTCCTTCAGATAAATTCGCAGTGAGTTTTGTATCACAATTCAATGTTGGTAAAATATTTCGTCCAGAATATGAAAGTCTTCAAGAATGTCTACTCTCTTCTTCCATATCGACGGCTTAGCCAAGACAGCTTATAATTTTTCGGTAGTTTCCATAATGGTGATTTCAGGACCATGAATTGAAAGATTTATCTCATTCATACGGTTAAATACATCAGGTAAACAAGCCCACAGATAACATTTTTCTTTTAAAGAGTTCCAACATTTGACTACTTCAAATGTTTGCTGGAAGAACGACTACTAGGCACAGAGTTGCCCGTCATTGGGCCAGCCACGTCGCAGGAGCGTCTGTAGATAGGACGTCTGCTATCTAGCGGCGGGTCTAATAACTACCGTAATTTTGAGGTAGTGATGAGCGCAAAAATATTTCGAGATATCTGCAAGAACTGTAACACGATATGAAAATATCAGTGACTTCTATTGGTAACAATGTCATCGGCACTGCTAATGGTACTGTGATTTGTTGCTTACATTTCTAATTGAAGGAAAAGAAATTTCAATTAGAAGTTAGCGTAAGGAAGAAATAATACTGTGGCGTGCGGCCAGGAAGGCCGGACTGTAGGAGGTCCATTGCTGGTGAACGACTAGCAATTCTTAGACAACGAAACATAAACAGACCGTTGCTTAGGGAAGTGCTTAAACAAAAGGCACAGAAATATTTAGTTCCCACAGCAACGAATGTACAACAATGGGGCGTCCATTGCTAGGCAATGTATGGGTGGACACGTCTGACAAAAATACATGATATCCATTTCAGCTGTGAAAGTTACTCGGGCTTACCAACCACACACAATGGAATCTCTCATGTTACAAAATGTAGGGTATATGTCTCGGACCTTAATGTGGCCTTCGTTAGTTGTTGCTTGCACAGATAAGAGAGAAATAAATTCATAAGCGGGACATCGCGTCTGTCTATCGATTTGTTCTCGTTATCCATTCGCTAAACTTTCTTTTAATTACAGAAATTTTTGATTGGTGGGTGGGTACTGGGCAGTGTTGATGGAATTTAATTTACTACCATATCATTATATTGTACATGCAATTGGACGTAGGGGTTTTCTCACAGACTGGTGAGCATTTAAAACTGATAAGACCTACGTAGCAGGATTATGTGTGTCTTCGGCTGTATAATACATTACATTATTTATTATACTGCAATTGGGTTTTAGCCCCGTGGCAGTAGTACACAATAGGACACAACAGACAAGTAACACACATTACACTAAGTGACAACACGTTCAAACAAAACACAATAAACAAAACACATCAATAAGGACATCCTACCACAGTGAATACAAATCAAATACGATTAACAACTACAACAATTACAGAGAAATACAAACAACTGCAACAAATACAACAGCAAGGACATCCTACGTACTCGTATATTCGTTAATCTGCCAATTTTATTTGAAAGACTTCCGATATTATTAATATTATCAAAATAAAATGAATAGAGTAATATACTCGTGTTTGTAATCAATTTCAAGGATGTTATATTTCATCGAATAAAATCTTATATTAGATTCATGATGTTGCTATTGACTGAATGTCACAGTTCACAGCTGGGCAAACGTACATGTAAATAAGAGAGTGGCTGTGTGCCCAAGGGGAGAGCTCAAGCTCTATTTTCTGATGCGAGTGAATCCGTTCCTCCTTCTTGTACCCAACTCCACTGTTTGACGAAATGTTAACAGCTTTGTTCACAGAATTGTTTTAAGGACGACAACAGTCTTTACGTTTGGCGCTCACAGATATACTGCGCAGAAACTGCGCCGATGTAGCCCACAATCGAAAGCGATAGACAAAATGAAGAACTATTGAAACATCTCTAAAAAGGAAAGTTCATGAGCGACTGCTCTGAGGGAACTGGGCTCTGTCCTTTGTGGCGTCTCCTGGCCCATGCATTTTCTCTTTACCTTCCCTGCAGCATCGTTCGTGTTATGTAGTGCATAAGTAGTCTTAGAGCCTGCAACATATAGCCGTGAATGTTCATTCCATAGAATTATACCTTAACGCTATATGCATTTTAGACACATGTCCCCCCCACATAAAACCCTTAAATTTCGTCTAATCCGAAAAACATCGTTTTCTTGTCGCGTTACGTAGGAAGGAAACTCCAACTGGTGTCAGAAGTGGGATAGGATTAAGACAAACT